TACTTTTTAATTTTTAATTAAGCCTATATCCTGCTCTGGGAAGCTCAGGGGGGGGAAGGGAGGGTTTTTGTGTGGGGTGGGGGTTGGGGTTTTTTTTTTTTTATATGTAATGTTTAGTTTCCTTTTTGAATATGTTGTCTTTTGTTTTGTATTGTTTTTGTTTTTTTGTAAAATTTATAAAACTTTTAATAAAAAAAAAAAAAAAGAATTACCTCTATTAGTTACACCAGTGGTTCTCAACCTGTGGGTCGGGACCCCATTTGGGGTCGAATGACCATTTCACGGGGGTCGCCAAACAAGGCTGTCCGCCATTTTTTTCCCTTTTCCCTAGCTGTCCTACTCCCTCTTATTGGTGGCCACACCCACTTGGGGGTCACCACAACATGGGGAACTGTATTATGGGGTCACGGCATTAGAAAGGTTGAGAACCACTGAGTTACACACTGATAGCAAAAACAAAATATAAAGAAATCTGTGAGGCAAAAAAAAAAAAGAGAGAAGTGGGAAAGGGAGGGCAAGCAGTGGCTTCCTATTTTTTTCAGTGCAGCAGAAAATAAAACATGGTTACAATCTCAGGTTTTGGGGTTACATGTTTAATATGAGACATTTCTATAACAACAAATCAATCTAATCATCAAAACCAAATAAAATCAAAGTTTGATTCTGTTTCAAGTATGAAGTCCAAAAGTGGTCTCTAAGGGGAAGCAAAACTGAATAAATTCTTTTCTTTAATTAAAGCAGTTAGTTTTGCCATCTCTGCTAACTTCATCACTTTTTCCATCCATGCTTCCACTGTGGGAGCAATCCCAACATATGTAGACTGTGCCAAGTAAGGAAATATCCAGAAATGAATTCTCTCTCGGTTTCCCCATCAGCTAGAATGGAGGTCTCCAAACTTGGGCAACTTTAAGACTTATGGATTTCAACTCCCAGAATTCTGAGAGTTGAACTCCACAAGTCTTAAAATTGCCACGTTTGGAGGAGACCACTGAACTAGAATTCAAGAGGCATAAATGGATAGAACAAAGTTGTTAATGACACATCTCTCTTGGTTGAAAATATTTATTCTGGACTCATTACAAATGATCCTCTTCATTTTCTGTAAAACTTCTGGTAAGCTCTTCCAAGTCTGGGTGGCTTTTGAACTTCTGAGACTTCTCCCTTTCCCCTTTGTCTTGTGTTTGTTTTCTTCCTTGAGCTGGGGGTGTGAATTGGCATGCCCAAGTGTAGTTTGCTCACATCAAGCATTCGGGGAAGGTAGACAGAAAACCTTGATGCTGGGATCATGCAGGGAATGACATGAGATTAGGGAGAGAGAGAGAGCAAAGCGCCAGCGGACAAGTTCTGAGCAAGCATACTGAATTTAGAAGGACTTGGACTTTGCTTAGATCTCCCCTCCACTCAGTTGCTAAACTCATAGAGAGGAAGGCTGAATCTTTGTGTGCGACAAATGAAGTTTTCCACTGAGTGAACAAAAGCTCTCGGAATTCAAGGCCACGTATTCATACTGAGAGTCTAGACCAGGGGTCCTCAACCTTGGCCCCTTTAAGACTTGTGGACTTCAACTCCCAAAATTCCTCAGCCAGCTCACAAGTCTTAAAGGGGCCAAGGTTGAGGACCCCTGGTCTAGACAGTGTTGAGTTTCACAGTGGAACACAGAGATGCCACTTACCTTTTATGCCATCTAGAGAAGGTATTGTTCTAAGCTCGGAAATAATTAGGGCTAAAAATACAAGAACACAGAAAGGTGTTTTCACCAAAAAGTGATTCTGAGCCCCTTTGGCCTGGTATTGTTATCATGTTAAGTAGCAAGAACTGGGGTTCAGGGAGGAAATTCTCCAAGTCTACTTCCAGGTGCTGAGGACTGAAATTGTAACCTTTAAGTACTACTCGGATGTATCCAGAAAATCACCCTCTTTTTATCTTCCCGGATTCCTGGAGAGATAAAAACCAGTTGTGGCATGTGATGCTGGTGGAATAGAAATGCCAACTATGAAAATTGGAAAGAAGACATGATAAAAGTGAAAACTTAACCTGCTACACTATCCTTTAACTAGCCAGCTGTCAGTTGCAAACAACCAGACACCCCCCCCACACACACACACACAAACACACACATGCAGATTTCAAGCTAACTATTTTATTATGGTCACTTTTTGTGACTTTAATAGAGTTTTGTCACTGCATCCAGTTTTGGTCATCCCATTATAAAAAAGATGTTGAGACTCTGGAAAGAGTGCAGAAAAGATGATTAGGGGGCTGGAGGCTAAAATATATGAAGAACGGTTGCAGGAACTGGGCATGGCTAGTCTAGAGAAAAGAAAGACCAGGGGTGACTTGATAGCAGTGTTCCAGTATTTGAGGGGCTGCCCCAAAGAAGAGGGAGTCAAGCTATTCTCCAAAGTGCCTGAAGGCCGGACAAGAAGCAACGGATGGAAACCAATCAAGGAGAAAAGCAACCTAGAACTAAGGAGAAACTTCCTAATGGTGAGAGCAATCAACCAATGGAATAGCTTGCCTTCAGAAGTTGTGGGTGCTCCAAGAGTCGAGGTTTTTAAGAAGAGATTGGACAGTCATTTGTCTGAAATGGCATAGTGGCTCCTGCTTGAGCAGAGGGTTCAACTAGAACAAGGCTTTTCAACCAGTGGTACAGGTACCACCTGTGGTACATTGGCACCTGGCGACCATCCTAGAAAAGTGGTAGTGAGGGAGGGGAATGAGCTGAACTGGTGGCAGCACCGCACAAGCCTGAACGAGAGACGGCTGGAGTTGCAGGGCTGTCAGGGCTCAGCGGAAGCGCCAGGATCAGTGCCGCTTTCCAGCTGATCGGTGCTTCTTCGGGGCTGTCAGGGCTCAGCGGAAGCGCCAGGATCAGCACCAGACTCCAGCTGAGCCCAGAAGAAGTGCCAGTCAGCTGGAATGTTGCAGCATCTCCAGGGTCTTGTGATTTACATTCAGATGCTTGGCAACTGATTCATATTTATGACGGTCACAGTGTCCCAGGGTTATGTGAAGTGGCCAAAACCTGCTGCAACCACCCAGCAGATGGGGGGAATGGAAACCAAACATCCCCCCACCCCATCCCCGCTGCCAATCCTCAACAGAAATGCTCACAACAATGAAAACCTCGGACAGGAGGAAGAGCGCCGCCGGGCGGGCAGGCAGGTGTCTTGCTCGGCTGTGGCTTGGGGGGCACTTTTTTTAGTGCTATTGTAACTTTGAACAGTCACTAAGCGAACTGTTGTAAGTCGAGGACTACCTGTACTTCAACACTTTTTTCCTTTGGGGGGGTCATCATGTTTTTGACGCCTTGCTAGGCAACTGGTGGTACTCGGATGTTGCCATATCCTAAAAGTGGTACAATGGGTGAAAAGGTTGAAAAGCCCTGGACTAGAAGACCTCCAAGGTCCCTTCCAACTCTGTTGTTCTGTTCTGTCTGTAATACAGGAATCTCCCCAATCTGGGAAGAATTAGATAAGACTCCAATGAATTCATGGAGGGCCAATTCTGGCCCTTTTACAGTTGTGACTGAGTCCAGACTATCTCTGTGCTTGACCCCTCCTTCCTGTCAGGCCGAGTGTTTCCCGACATCAGCTTCTCTAATCTCTGAGAACTCGTTTTGCAAATGGCATTTTGCTGTAAGGAGACTGAATTAACCAATCATAAAGATTCTGCCATAGATTTGTTTGTTATAGTAGCAAATTACCCAATCAATCAAATATAATGGAGAGAATATTCTCAATTCAAGGGGTGCTACATACATCCTTATCTTCCTCTTGTGTCATATAAGTAAGGAATTTATTTAAAAAAAAAACATTAAGGGTAAGTCATCCACTAGCCTGCTGCTTACGGAAATGTAAGAGCATGGTAAAATCAAATACATACAGTGCAAGTGAAAATTGGGTTAACCCCTTCACCCCTCCCTCTTATTGTTTACAAATCAGAAAACAAAAAAACTAATTGCAATCAATTATAATTGGCAGCTTTCCCTAATCTAGGCTCTCCCAGATGTGTTCGAATGATTGGGATTCTTGCACACAGAAATAAGGCATTTAAGGCCTGTCTCCAAAAGCAAATTTTGAATCAAAGGAATTTGAGAGCTGCAAAAGAAAAACTTTGGTGCCATGGAAAGAACATTGAGAGATTCAGTGTTGAGTCAACTGCTAAGGAAGGCAAGACTCTAATGAAATGTCAACAAATACAGAATGTTAAAAAGATGCTGGAGGGTTTTAATTTCAGAGAACGCATCTCTGGAGAAAGGAATATTTTTCTAGGAACTAATTGCATTTCATGTCTGCCAGAGGTGGTCAATCACGGGACTTGCTTTTGATCAAACTTGTCATCACTTTGATTGGAGAGTAAATATTCAATGCCTTTGTTTAAAAGATTCTCTTTAAACATGAACTGATAGATGCTGTCATGCGCAGATGCAAGGTGGTAACTGAAGATGGTGTGAGTACACGTACAAACACACATGCCTCCTTAAAAAGCTATATAATCTTGTGATCATCCAAGGCTATAGACCAGGAGTCTTCAAACTTGGCCCTTTTATGACTTGTGGACTTCAACTCCCAGAATTCCTCAGCCAGGCACGCCTGGCTGAGGAATTCTGGAAGTTGAAGTCCACAAGTCATAAAAGGGCCAAGTTTGAAGACCCCTGCTATAGACAGCTACAAGTGGCTTGTCCCTAGATTTGCATTTTGCACTAAGCTCCACATGACTGAATGATTCCATGTTAATTGGATTCACACAACACTAAGCTATAAAACAGGGCTCTCCAACCTTGACTGGCTGGGGAATTCTGGGGATTGAAGTCCACCCATTTTCAAGTTGCCAAGATTGAGAGATCCTGTTCCGGACACCCCTGCTATAAACCATGATTTTTAAACATCAGTGACTAGATTCACATGACCCATTCACCCAACTCCAGCAAACTGCTTTGTGACGTACTGTGGGGTTCGAATCCAACTTTAGGTGTTTTCTTCTGGGTCTTCTCACAGGAGGAAAGCGATCAACAAAAGCAAGGAATCCGTGTTCAACGAGCATGAGCGAGAATCCGTGAAGTACCGTCCAAGCGTTCCGGTGGAGGACGACTTGATGGAAGACTCCATTCTTCTGCCAATGGATGCCAGCCTGGAATGCCACAGCCCACCTCCTGATTATAATTCTGTGATCCAGTACTCAGCTCCTCCAGTGTAGTCAACTAGCCTGGGGTGACCGCCAGGTTTCTCATCTCTGACCATGCAGTATTTTAAGCCAGCTTCCTGGTTTTCTTCCTGCTTAATCCTGTCCTAAGTGGAGAAGGCAGACCGTGGTTTATTTGCCCTTGAAGTCAAATGCCCATTTGGCCCCGCTGCTTGCACAGTGTGAGTGGGGATTCTTTTAAGAGGAATTCTTAAAGCTGTCTTCCAAGTTCTCTGGCTTTTATTTCCTAAACCATCCCCACAAATTTATATATATTTGTTTAATGCCGTGCTTGTTTCAGTCCATCTTTTATTGTGTGAGGTTTGCTGCCTTAAAGCTCTGAACTGCACAGCAATTTTCCACTTTTTGGTCACTTTCAAAAGTTGCTAGGGAAATTCCATTCTAAACACCAAGGCTGTTGTCCAAGGATAATTATCTTCCATATTTTATGGATAGAGAGCAAACCTTAGCCTGAAAATCAGATTTACTGCAGAACCTAAAGCAATCTGCCAGAACACACCTTTGGAGAGACATGCACAGAGACACCCTCAAACTGCGAGTTATATTTAGCACCAACCAACTTGCAGAATGAGGCTGGGAAAGACTCTGTGGATAACTGTCCTCATTGTACAACAGTGTAAACCAGTGATGGCAAACCTATGGCACGGGTGCCAGAGGCGGCACTCAGAGCCCTCTCTGTGGGCACGCACGCCGTCGCCCCAGTCCTAGGCCTTCAGCTGGGTTTTATAGGCCTTCGCTGCCATGTGCAAAAAAAAAAAAAGGTTCGATCAATCAGTCAATTTCAACTTCTTGTGAGAAAAAAAAAGATCTTGCAAAGTTGGAATTGATTGATTGAACTTTTTAGTCCCACCCAGTCTGCCGTTACCACCATAGCCACGCCCACCCAATGGGCCACACCCACCCAATGGGCCCCACCCACCCGGCACCCGACCATGCATAAGTGGGTTTTGGGTTGCAGTTTGGGCACTCGGTCTCTAAAAAGTTCGCCATCACTGGTGTAAACAATTAACTAAATGCAATAATGAAAAACATAGACAGTAAAGCACAGGAAAGAAAAGGCCTCAGGTGTTTTAGTGCGCCAGGAAAGTCAGACCCCATGAAACTGTGAATTTAGAAGCTTCTTAAAAGAGGTGTAAGACTTGCTTGTTCTCTAAACCCTAAAGCTGCTAGGAATATTTTCTGCTTAGTGCATTGCAAAAGAAAACCCTTCTGAAGTGCAGGGAGCACCAGTTAAGCATGGAGAAGTTTGCCTGTTTCCCTCTCTGTGTTGTAAGAAGCAATGAAGTTAAAGTAAAAAAAGAGGCTTGCTTTGAAAAGCACTTAATTGACCCATAATTTTGTCATGGGATCAGTGGGGAAAAGACAGTAGAGTATAACCTACATCTTGTAACTTCTGGGATGTTCCAAGTTCACCTGGATGCAAATTAATTTGGATCCTGTGCCAAGCTGTTGGAGACAGAAGAATATTCAAAAAAGTCAAGGTGGTCAGGTTTTGATCAGGTAGTCACACCTTTTCTTTAATCTGTCGCCAACACCAGCATCCCCAAGACCCTTGATTCTGTGCCTTACTCTTAACACAGGAATGTAAGTAAGCGTGGAAATGTTTTGCTTGTATATGCTAAGTCTTGTGAGTAAGTTACTAGGACCAAAGAAAGCATGGCTGGAGTGTGCCTTAAAAACTTTGATTGTAGAAAGCGGTAGTCATATGATCAAAAAGACAGGGAAATACTGGGACCACCCAAATGTGTTAAGTGCCTTTTTTTTTTTTTACCTACATAGCTAAGATTAAGAAGGTCTAAAGCCACCTTTTATCATTTCCAATTTTGGGGGGAAGGCAGTCATTGGCATCCCAACCACAAACAGGTGACTCAAGATCTGTTAGCCAAATTCACAAATCAGATGTACAGTAGGTGAAACCAAAGGACATTGTGGTTGAGGAAAATGCATAAATCTTGCCACTGCTACAAAATGGAGGCTGATGAGTTGTTGAAGACTGGGCTGCCCTTTTGCATCGGCAGCCTAGCCTGGTGTGATTTCTCACAGTGAAGATCAGTGGCACTAATACCCATCACAAACATGAACTCTAGAAGCCGTTGAATCTTATTTCAACATCCTTCCTTCCTTCCTTCCTTCCTTCCTTCCTTCCTTCCTTCCTTCCTTCCTTCCTTCCTTCCTTCCTTCCTTCCTTCCTGTCTTTTGCTTCATCTATTTCTTCTTCCATTCTATTCCTTTCTTTTCCTTCCTTCCTTCCTCCCTCCTTCCACTTCATCTGTTTCTTTCTTCTTTCTTCTCCTTCCATCTTATTCCTTCCTTTCTTTTCCTTCCTTCCTTCCTCCCTCCTTCCACTTCATCTGTTTCTTTCTTCTTTCTTCTCCTTCCATCTTATTCCTTCCTTTCTTTTCCTTCCTCCCTCCCTCCTTCTCTCTTCTTCCTTCCTTCCTTCCTTTTGCTTCATCTGTTCTTCTACCTTCTTTTTCCATCCTATTCCTTCCCTTCTTTTCCTTCCTTCCTCCCTCCCTCCTTCCCTCCCTTCCTTCTTCCTTTCTCTGTCCCTCCTTTCCTTCCTCCCTTCCTCCCCAACATGCCCCTTTACTCATTGCCCTTCATTCTCTGTACCAAGTATGCCCATGGGCTGTAGCAGAATCCTTGTGTTGGCAGATGGCATTTGCTGACTTCTAAGCACTGAATCTAAAGCTCCGAGATAATTCAATAAGCTTTTTCTGAACTGGACTTTTGGGGGGAAAGGACGCCCCCCCCCCATGTCTTCCAAAGACTAAAGACCCATTCAGACTCTCCGCCAAGCGTCTCTGCCTGGATGTGATTTTTCAATTGCATAGATAAGACTAATTTTATTCTGTTTTTAATCAGCAGAATTGGATCTGTATTCCTTGCATTTTATTTACTAATATTCTTTATCCCCACTTTTCTTCCTCCTCTTCCTCCCCTCCCCTTAATTTAATTACAGTGTTCTTCTAATAACGTTGAAATATCTCTAAATATAATAAAACCCAGCCAAAACCAAGCCCCTTGGACGGCAATCCTATGCAAATTTAAAAGGAAACCAATTTCTTTGAGTTCCTTGGGGCTTACTTCTGAGTAGACCCGTATGAGATTACATTGATCAAGTCCTTTGGTTTCCAGTGGAACAGATGCCAATTTCTGCCAGTCCACAGAAGAGGGCTAAACTGCTCAATTTTGGCTGGATTTTAACCTATGTTTATAGCGTTTATTAGGTAGAAGCAATTCAAGTATAAATATGCATTGCATTTATTTAACTATGTGTATCCCTTTTTTAACTTTCAAAGAGCAGGAAATTCTGACCCAAGAGTCTCTTTTTCAGAACCTCTCACCTCTGTGTGCAGGCCAGGGACCAGTGCACAAGGGTCGCCCATTTGGGTGTTACACAAAAAGGACATTTAGCACCCTCACCCTCCTCCTTACGTTTTTGGGCATTTTGATTTTTAGTGGACGAAATTGGGTTTGAATGTTACTGCACTTTTCCGAAAACAGTGGAAAGAGTCACATGAGTCTTGGGTTGGGAATCCGACTGAAGGACAAAAGATTATTTCTGTGGTCTAAAAGAGGAATCAGATGCCCAAAGAGGTTTATTTCGATGTTATTAAATACAACTCAGGGATTTCAATCCATCAGAACAGAGCTGGAAGAGACCTTGGGGGGGGGGTCTTCTTGATGGCTTCAGAAGGCATTCAGCTGCTGGCCTTTGAAAACTTGCCTAAATATATTCAGAATTGATTAGGCAGCTCTATATTTGTTTCAAAACATTCCTCAGTCCCACAAACACCACCTTGCATAATTAATTAAACTTGCATTATTACTCAAGGCAATTTGGTGCCTGCAGGGAGCAGGCATTAACAATGGCACCCGTGTCTGGGTAACTGAAATCTTGCTTTCTTTTTTTTACAACTATCAGACCCATGTTGCACATAAAAAAGAGGTGGGGCCAGTGGTATGCTAGTCAATGTTTAACAAGCAACTATTGCTGCTGCTATGCTGCTGCAGATAGTCCTTAAGCGTCTAGGGAGATTCTCAGTCATCCAGGTCATAGTTATCCCAAAGGTGGTTCTTGACGAGGCAACCGGACTCTTGTTTTTCTCTGAAAACGTTTCGCTTTTCATCCAAGAAGCTTCTTCAGCTCTGACCGGATGGTGGGGAACGGAAGGATTTATACTCCTTGCAGACAGCTGGTTAATGCCTTGGACTGCAAGGCATTCAAACCGGTCAGTCCTAGAAGAGATCATCCCTGACTGCTCTTTAGAAGGCCAGATCCTGAAGCTGAAACTCAAATACTTTGGCCACCTAATGAGAAGGAAGGACTCCCTGGAGAAGAGCCTAATGCTGGGAAAGATTGAGGGCAAGAGAAGAAGGGGACGACAGAGAATGAGGTGGCTGGATGGAGTCACTGAAGCAGTAGGTGTGAATTTAAATGGACTCCAGAAGATGGTAGAGGACAGGAAGACCTGGAGGAACATTGTCCATGGGGTCACGACGGGTCGGACACGACTTCGCAATTAACAACAACAACATTCTCTTCCACTCCCCACCATCCAGTCAGAGCTGAAGAAGCTTCTTGGATGAGAAGCAAAATGTCTTCAAAGAAAAACAAGGAAGTCCAGTTGCCTCGTAAAAAAGCAGCTTTGGGATAGGTAATCCCCAAGTTGTGAACACAATTGGAACCAGAATTTTCATTGCTATGTGAAGTGAATCATACCCAATTTTACCACCACTGACTTTGCTTGCCAGCTAAGGAGGCTCCAAATGGTGATCAGATGTGGTAACCATTGTAAATACATGCCAGCTGCCAAGCATCCACGTTCTGATCACATCACTGGGAGGATGCTGTGATGGTTGTAAGTGCAAGGACCAATCGTAAGACACGATGGATCGTTGTAAGTTGAGGACTGCCAGTAACTGCTGTAGAGCTAACTGGAACTCTAGGCATCGTGGCTCAGCTGTGCTCCCAATTGGCTTGCAAAATTCCAGAAAATTTAATAATCGGCTCTTACAGTTGTTAAATGTGGGACATCGATTTCATGGTCATCGCCATTAAATTCATCTTTGGAGCCTCCCCACCCCAGATGCCTTGAAAGCCAGTTGGGCATTTGGGGAACTGCCAAAATCAGAATCACTAACCGAAGCCTGAAAATTGAAGACTTTTGAGGAAAAAAAATGAATTAGGCAAAAATCCTCCAAATTCTATAGAACGTCTGCCAAAACCAGTCCGTCTTTCTAGAGAATGTATGCACTGAAAAGAACCTGCTCTGTTCCTGTAGTCAAAAATGTATTGTAATTATTAACCAAATATAAATTAAAAGGACTCTATATTTATATAGCCTATGCCTGCATTGTGTTCTTTGTTCTTTTTTTGGCCTGCTATTCAAAGGTTGGCCAAAGGGATGTCCTAGGTGAATTTCCGCAATTTTGACTTGGAACTCACTTTTCTGGACATTCAAAGCATTTTTCGGTTGAGAGATCCATGGGGCACTCAATAAATCACATTAAGGCTGGTTCACCCAACCTACTAAACCCACCTATAATAAAATGCAAGTGCTGTTTTCTCCAATTCATTGTTTATTGCTGCTATTTCTACCCTCCTCCATTTCTGAAGACTCTGAGTGGTTCTCAGTATTAATATAAGACAATGAAAAGTAAACATTGATTGATAATTAATAATGAATCGATCTGATGTGCCACCATTCAGGGAAACCTTTTAGATTATTTATTTA